GGGGACAACCGATTCTTCAGATAATTTTCACCACATTTTGCAAGTGGTAATAATTTTTTCCGTTGTTTTTGTGTGGATTTTGTGTTCGTGCTTTATCATTATGTTGGTCTTGTACGCATAGAAAATTCGATCTACCAGTATGACAGTTCTGATAAGTGTATCTTTGGTTGAGTTGTTAAAATGAAAACATTTCGTTCTCATATACACATACATCTTAAGAGACTTGCGTATTTTCCATAAAGATGTTAAGAAACCTGTTTGCACAGCACTGATTATTCCAATGATATTGATTTGTCTTGTCTAGAAGTGTGCGCATGCATGCTCAAATAATGGTGCAGAATATGGAAAACATTTGATATTCAAATATAAATGAGTATTGATTTGTAATACATCCAGTAGCCAATATTGCATTTTAGTAGATTTATGGATGTGTGTAACTTGCAAGGAAGGTTGGCTTCAACTGAAATTCATTGGGATAGTGTGGGGTGGGGATGCCATGTGACAGTTGTAAAGGTGTTTAACTTACTCATCTTTAACTATGTATTAAAGTTCCCAATCCTCCAGTTTCAACATGATTTTACGTACACCCTTGGGGTTAGGGCTTTACAGCCACCTATGCTATGCCTAATGTCAACCATACATGAACATTGTTTGCAGTTTCCAAACTCTTCTAAAAATTAAACCCTAACCCCCTAGGGTGTATGTAAATCATTAAAATCAGAGTGTTTGGGACTGTTAGGGCTATAAATATTTGTAAGTTTAAATTCCATTCCATCCTGATCCATTGTACCTCCTGACAATGAACAGTTGTTGTGGTCAGTTTTATCGTACATATTGTATGCTGATCAGTCTAAGAATCCCTATCAGGGTAGTATTGTTCATCTCAAGTCCTAAGTCCATTTGAGATTACGGCATAGCTGTATGACTGTATTGTACTGTTGTTTTTCCAAACAGGATGTACATGTAAGCTTGTTCATTTTAAATACATATATACAAACTGGAATAATACAGAACAGAGCAAAACGTTAAATACATAACTTTATTGATCAATCCAATGAAAAATTGGCACGTACCACAATCCAAAAGTGCTCGTTACAACTCTGCAGAGCCATAATAAGTACTGGAAAAATTAAGATATGAGTTTTAACTTTGGCATTTTCTGGACAGATTGTTTCATGCTGCTCCTTACGGCACTCATCAGCAGAATGACAAAGAACATTATGTAGCATCTTCTTACATGGAACCAGACGCGCATCCACGTGCTGCGTCACTGAACTTAGATCAATATACTTTCCAGAGATGTACCCTTGGAATAGTATTGTTATTGTTCCATGCAAATGTTTCTTCTGTCTTAGGCCAGAATCATTTAATTTATTGGATTATGAACATAGCATGAAATTTTGCAGGGTCGGAAGGCGCAAAGAAATAAAAATAAAAGTTTGCAGTTCTATTTTTTCCCCAAAATTCATTGATGTCGGGTCAAAGGAGAAAGGAAAATTGAATTTAGTCCTTTTTTTCTTCAAGACACATAAAAAATTCACTCTTGGGATTAAAACAGTTACTTTTTCTTTTTTTTACAATTTTTTTCATTAGTGATCAAAAAGTAACCAATAGTAACAAAAGTATTTGCCTTTCAGCAGCCAGCCTTGCTGTTCTTTTTTGTTTACTTTCATCGGAGTCTCATCTTAATACACAGAAATAGTCAAATTCGAAACTCTCTTGCAGATCATACAGACACTCTGATACAATCCATGAACAGTCTGTTGAACCTGCCAAATGCAGAAATAATGGAAGTCAATTGAGCCCTTTTAAAAACCTTTCAGTACCGTAATTCGTTTTCAGTCCGATACCCTGTGTTTTCATGTACAGTCTACTGAAAGGTTAAATTATGCAGCTGAACATATGGTGCACATGCCCTTACAGAAAAAGAAGGGAAAAGTGGTTATCTAGATAGAACAAAAAAAATCTATAATTTTGGAGGTCAGGTCAGACCACTTGCATGCAGTAGCACTTTCCACCTCCTGTTGCAAGGTCAAACTGGTTTTCCAGGGACAGCTGCTACTGGCTGGCTGGCTGACCTTTAGTGATCATGTGACCTTCGTAGCTGGCATCTACCTGCTGACACTGCAGCATTGGTGTGTGGATCACGCACTGGGCCACCATGGGAAAAAATATTGGAGTGCCAGCGTTTAGGATATCTGTGACTGGTTTTGATATCACTCAGAAGTTTCTGGATCAACTTGGAAGCATTGAGACACGTGTACCAACATTCTTTCATTCATTGCCCCCTCCTCAAAAAAAAAAACCATTAGTGTAGTGTTTGTTGTTATACTGTCTTCAGAATATACAGAACAGGGAATATGAGAACAAATTCATTTTCGTAGTGAATAATTTATTTCGATTTCTTTTTTAGGTAGGATGACCCAGCACTTGAGATCCTCATTTTACTTGTCAAAATGCAAATAAGCTCAGAGTAAAACATGGTATGGTGATAGCATGGCATGGTGATAGGTACTGTACGTCACTTGGAGAGGTCATGAAAATGCATTCATTCATGTCATCCCTCTGAGTATGTGCATTGGCCTTGAAGTTGAAAACAGATTGTGTTCTAAAGACCTAGTAACCATGAAGTTAAATACCGATACTATTGCCAAACAAATAAGGAGCAAGGTTATACATGTACACTTATCCTATGGAAACCCATTTTTCAGTCACAAACAATCATTATAAGGATTTAATGTTAACTTTCTGAATTTTGTTGCACAACTGCCAAACAAAATGGCGGGTCGATGTCCAACATTAACATACTGTGATCACTGACTGTTACATGCAAGACCTACTCTGTGATTTCATTGTACATGTACATGTATGTAATCTGATTTTATAAACAAGGAGTGGCAAGTAGCAAGTTTTTGACGACCGTGCCCTGGCCTTAGTGCGATCGCGCGCCAATGGGGAAATCAAGGGGTGGGGTATGCTGTAGTTATTGTGTGAATTGTTTTTTAATTTTCACTGCAGAAATTATAAAAAAAAGTTGAAAACATTGCAGCGTATTTCCAAATAATATTTTTGTTATTTTTGTTTTTTTCTATTTCTTTTTGGGGGATGTGGTTGGACAAATGGCTTCCATGCATCTAGTTTAAAACTTCCTCTCTTATTTCATGCTTAAGAAGGTATGAAACGGAACTTGAATTTCTGAAGCGGAATTTGGGATTTGGCAAAAGGGAAAATACCCATTTTTGAGATGGAAAATCATTGGCTCTAGGAAATCAGCTATCTTTATTTCTTTAACATAGACTTTCACCCTCATTATCTCTATGCTGGCTTTGATAAGTATTGTCTTGAATGGAGAGTTATTTATAGATGCATTGCACTTTTTATAAATGCTTATTAGCTAAATGGAATCTGTTGTAGATATAGATATCTTGGCAATCATAATAGTTCCATTGAGGGTTTCTTTTTTCAGTGGGAGTATTGGAAGAATATCATTTTCATTTATGCCCTGCAACCAACGACATCTGTTCAGCCCATTATTGATCTGTAAACTCCTTTTTGTATTGTAATTCTAGTACTTGTTGAATGAAAAATAATCATATATTTTGAAAACAAATATCTGAAAGGAAATTTAATAACCGTTCCTTGGTTTAAAAAAACAGGATCAGAAAGATAAACTTCCAAACGTGAAACCTTTATTTGAGAAACTTTCCTTTTGGGAATGTAGGGAATTGGCATTATTCCACATTCCCAACAATAGTGGTATGATCCAGTTTTTGCAACAGGTGCCCAGTGCAAAAAGGAAATAAGACACGGAAGCTTCCAAACTGTCAATAGGGGTGATAAATTCATAATTTTCTGCAGTGTGAGTTTTGGAAGCCAGCCTCTCTGCTGATGAGGAGGATAATGCTGACACTTCAAAATTCCATGCAAGAAGCTACATCAACTTCCCCCCACCCCCAAAAGAGTTCTGTAAATGCCTTGCATTTATTGCTGTTCTTTCCTTTTGGGGGTTAATTTAATGTATTTTACAAACTCTGACCAATGAAAACTGAAATGAGAGGGGATATTTATACTGGAGTCATCATTGTTTTTGGCAATCGTAATATAACTATCTATGGAATAACTACGCATGAATGATGGTTAAAGTAACAATTGTTGTTATGTTTGAACATGTTGTATTTTGGGGTGGGAATTGTATAAGTTTTTCTATTGTAAATCATACATGCCTCTACAATGTGTAAATAATGTATTCTTCCATGATGTAAACATGTGTTACTTAAGTTAAAGTTTGGCACAGGGCTAAGTACAGGCAGCCAGCAGGATTTACAGGGTGATGCAATCAAATCCTGCACGTAGGTCATGGGCCTCTGATGTGCTTGTAATGAGTTCCTTCCTCAACTCGCAGTCCTCATTTCAGGAAAGTTGTTCATGTAATCACTGATAACAGATGCCTGGTTGAAGTGTAGGTGAAAGGTCTAGTGCCCTGTTGAGGCATGTTCAGTAGTCTTGTGTAGTTTTCCAAAACCTCATTGGCACCAGTTGTTTATATAATTCCTGATAAATGTGGAAGGCCCCTTCTGAGTGTGCATTTTAGCATTCCTTTCTTTGAAATGAAAAAAGTATATCAGTGAAATTAATTTTGTATCTTACTTTTAAAGTATGTGGCCGAAAAAATTACAGACTCATATGAGACAATGAGTAGTTTGAGTTGAATAATTGAAAAGCAATTGAATAACTGTTGTGGTGTGCTTACTTTTAGGTTTTAGTCATTGGAGCTAAGGAAAATACATGTTTATGCTAAGTATGCCAACTTACTTGCACAGATATACATGTGTACTGCATGTGTATGCAAATTTGTAAGGAGACATGGTCATCGGAACACCAGTAGAAAGTGTATTTCAGCATGAGCTTGTTTTAAGTATGCAAATTCCATGTTGAACATCATCAAAATTTCTGTCCTAACTTCAAAATGTTTTCATGTCCGTTTTCTTGTCCTTCCTCAGCCTCTGTCAGAGCAGCTGGAGGGCGTCCAGAGTGACACCTGGTTCAACACCCTGTTTGACGACCCCATGTTGTGTGACAGGGACTTCGGAGCCCCTTCGCCGACCCCCCACATTCAGGCCGAGCACAGCTACAGTCTCAGCTCCCTCAGCGAGCCCGACTCACCTGTCTCCAGTGGGTTAACCGAAGGTGGGTCCTTGTCTGACATTGCGGCTATCGTGTCGACACACTCTCACAGCTGCTTGAAAAACTCTCTCTCAGCGCTGCATAATGGCATTGAAGGAAGAATTGTAAACATGCCGTCAGGAGTCTTCTCAATTCATCATTTCCGAGTCAAGTCTGGAGCTGTCCAACTTCACCTTGACACAAGCATTCCTTCCAGTTCTTTGGTACTGATAATTGTCTATTACACATGAACGGACTTGTGATCAGATGTGGATGGCTTGTACAGTAATTGACTCTACTGTCGACAGCTCTTATTGCGGGTAGCGCACAGCCATGTCTGTCAAATTCTGCTCAGTGCCTGAATAAATTCCCATCGATTGATTGATGAATTAGTGAACAGGTGAATTGGTGAGAAAAGGGGGGAGTACCTCATGTCAGGCGGTGTATATTATAGCAAATAAAAACTTATCACGTTTGTGCGGTGGACAACTTATTTCATTCGATGAGAGAATCGATCACCCCATGGAATTATTCTTACCATTGCACCTGTAAACATTCATTATTTATAAAATATATCCAACATCATGACCAACTTAGATTGAGGCAAAGCTTTTTCCATTTGGCATTCATGTATTAACATTATGGTATTCCCCTCAAGGTACCTATTTCAGTTCAGCTTTACTGCTTGACAAAAAAGTGTAAATGGACTGAATGGGCCTCTCTATCTATTCCTCCCTCACAGATGAACTAGACACCTTTGATCTGCCCCTGGTGGATCCTGAGACCAACCTGCCCCTCATCATCAAATCGGAACCCTTGGATGACCCCACAGAGGCCCATTTCGTCCTGAAGGAGGACCTGCCCAGGGTGATCTTCCCAACGCCGAAGATGGAAGGCAGCAACCCCCATGGACCCAAGCCAGTGCAGAACATCAAACCCAAACAGGGCACCATCAAGATCAAAGTGGAACCAATGATGCTGGATATGAGAACGGACAACGGTATTGAATTTTCATTTCAATACTTCAGTGGAGTTCCTTTTTTTTCCTCGCTATCCTGTAATAATGCTTCTCCGTTTAGTCACATCCGTACACTGTCAATTCCCAAACCCAATTCCAAGATGCACTTTACTAGCATATTGCCATGCACTGCTTGGCTCTGAAATCTTGTGTTTTCATGCTGTTTTCCAGACTACAACATATGACCTGTTCAAGCACAGTGTGAACAAGCACCTTTCGAATTTGACATGGCAGTCCTTCCTCTTTCTCTCATTCACCAATTCTGTTGCTATTTTTTATTTGCCACGGCCCTGTCTGATGGTCTTTTCTAGGGGGAATTGTGTTTCAAAGAAAACTAGACATTGTTTTGAAAGATCTTTCACCATTGGCAATGGCCACAGGACTTGATGGACTATGCCTCCCACCCACCCCACCCAGCAGCACGACCAGTGACAGCGAGGGTGGGAACAGCCCCTCCCGACAGACCTCAGAACCCGGAAGCCCACGCCCCCTGCCAACGATAGTCAAGAAGCAAGACCTGCACTCGCGAATGATCAGCACCCAGCCACTGTTCACCAACACACAGGTGGGACGTTGGCACATCTTGCAATTGTCTGTCTCCTCACTGACCCCTCAGCCACTCTAAATCGGACCTGTCTCCCATGCCTTCAACCCCAGCATTCCCAAATGCTCCAAGTTTCAGTGTGCTTTTTTTACACATTCCGGGGGAAAGGTGAACTTTCAATCTGAAGTTGACTCAGATAAGGGAATTTCTGACCACAAAGAGACCTGATTCAGGCTTGAATTTCATATCCACGTTGCAAACAGCAAATCATGCTGGCCAGTTTTGCTGTCGGGGAGTAACAGATAATGCTCTCTGGAAGTGCCTTTCCAAATTTTTAGCTTAAGCAAATACACAAAGTTATTGAGAATTTAAGAGGGAAATCTTTAAAGAAAAACCTTTTAATACAAATATTCCTGTAGCCATGTTGCAGAACCTTTGAAACCAGAAGCTGATATTTTTCCAAAAGAGTTCAAGGAAGCTTGTCTTACAATTTTGAATAATCACAATCATCTAGGAGCCATTTGAATCACTCGGGTGATGATGTTGTAACTTTTTTTGGTGGGTTCTCACTCTGCAGAGATTACCTCAGTCTGGCCCCCTCATTCTAACTGAAGAGGAGAAGAGGACGCTGATCCAGGAAGGCTATCCAATCCCAACCAAGCTCCCACTGACTAAGTCCGAGGAGAAGTCCCTGAAGAAAGTCAGGAGGAAGATCAAAAATAAAGTGAGTGGGCCCCCCCAGAACTCCTCGAACAGAGGGCAGCACAGATTCCCATTCAGGGAATCTGGCCCATGCTCTGTCATGCCCAGGTCCCCTCTGGTGAAAGGGTCTAACCCTTTCACCTGAGGGGACTGCCTGTAGTGTACACTGATGTACAGTTGCTGCCTAAGTGTGGTACATACTGACTGTTCTTACTTGTCCTTCACGTGTAAATTTCAAAGCGAGTAGTTTGCAAAGCAGCGGCAGCGGAACAACTTTCAAAGTGGGAGGGGAGCAGTCAAGATACCATCAGGCATCAGCCATTGAAAAGCCCATTCATTAAGTCTGACCCCATTACAGGACCTGCAAAAAGGGGGAGGGGCATGCCCCTGGCCCACCTGGCCCCCCTTCTGCCACCAGTGTTGCAAAGGGAATCAGTTGTGCCAGCCTCATAGCCTCCACCAGGAGAAACTAGGCATAATGCCAAACACAACAAAAATATTGCTCCTCCAAAACTAGGATTCTACTAAATGCAACCAAGTTTATGTTCTGTGCAATATGGACGATTCACAATAGTGCGCCTCTAGGAGGTTGCAACACATTTGCCAATCACGACGCCCGAAATCTTCACCCAAACGCACATCGGGTCAACAGATTTTGTGCGTTGTGATTGGCCAACGCTTTGCAAACTCTTTGGAGGTGCACTATCGTGAAACGCCTGTATTGTGGTATGCACCTGAGAAACTCCAGCCACGCCATCATGCACTTGCAGTGTTACCTGCCACTTGTGCTTTACTGTTAAATCCAACACTATGTAACAGCCTGTTCTAGTGCTGCTGCATTCTGTTGCATAACAGTTTTAGGGTTAAATGTGAACAGCATAGCTGTTTGATAAGAACCTGTAGCAGACTGTAGACCAAATCTGGAGGCTCAGATATGGCTGGGATTTTTTCCTGCTATCTGTACTGCTCCCCGAGGAAAACTTGGTGCCCAGAAAAAAAACAAACAACTACTGCACAAGATTTTTGAAGGTCACTATAGACCCGCAGGAAGACCACATCACTGTCTAGTCACCATCTCGGGCCGGCCCTTTCCTGTCTAATCGGTGACTGGAAAGTGCAGCACCTGCACAGAAGTCATTGGCAGATCTTTTGGGAGCCTGACTAATCCAAAAAGTACTCTTCCATGTGCTTAACCCCATTCTTTACTTGTGTTGAAAGTTTACCAAAACTGTATGTAATCTTTACACTGTTAAATTAGGAGATTGTTAACATAAAGGGTTAATTTCATAATGCTGGTTAATAATATTCGGACAAAAATTCCTAATCATGGCAGAAAAATTGTTTACTGCACGTGCATTCCATGGCCTAGATGTGCTAACGCTTGAGTGCCCATTGAATTTGAAATTTCTGTTTTCACATTACTTGAGTGAATTCTCAAGTTAATGCTACGTAGTGTCTCTGTTAAAAACAGAGAAACTTTTATGTGCTTGGCAGTGTCATGCCATTGGGCCAAGACCTGTAGAATGATCTTGTCTGCATGGCTCATCCGTCTGGTTGTTTTGGGGGGAACCAAGACCTGGCCACCGCCTTGACTTACTTCCATCAGGGAGACATCTCGGCTAGGCACCATAAGCACACACTCACTTCCTCATTTTTCCGTCATTTTTTCCCACTGTCTGTCCCAGATCTCGGCACAGGAGAGCAGACGAAAGAAGAAAGAGTACGTAGAAGCTTTGGAAAGAAAGTAAGTTTCCAAGAACCAGCAGGAAATCTCGTTAGTGCTGTGTTTGAACTGTCTGAATGTGGATTATTGCCTCCAGGATTTTTTGTGCTCGGATATAAACCTGGCTTTTGCTGTGTCACAAGTGTAGAGTTTTTCCAACCAGTAGTTGTCATAGATGTTGTCTGACCCCGAGTACAAACCCCCCCAAAACCCTCAAATATCATGAAAAAAATCATACAAATATTGTGAAAATACAACCAAAACAACACTCAAGGGAGTGTAAAATAATTCCATATAAACATTAAAACACTCTTACAGAAATACTTCAGTTATTCTTCTAACTGAAAGTGCCTTCCATTTTACACATATGAAGCAAAATGCACATTTTGAGGAGAAAATTTGTAGGTTACCAAGAGGGAACGTTCTTCAAACTTTGACCATTCATATGAAATAGCAGTCAATTTTTAACAAAACACAGATGAAACAGCAGTCAGACACTGGAATTGACACTGTAACATTTGCTTTGGGCGTAGAGAAATACTTGTTAACAGTAATGTGTTGTTTCTCGGAGTAACACTTTAGAAATGAAGTAACTTTAGGGTTGAAATTTAAGCAGCAATGGGAACTGCATCACACTGTTGAATGTTAGATATGATTAAAAAGTAAGAGAATTTTAGGACTTCATCAGTTTGAATAAAGGTCAAATTTAGTTAATTTGCATTGAATTCTAGAACCATTCTAACAATTTCATTTAGGTACAGATTTATCTGGAAATATTGAAGCTTCATTCAGTGTGATGTGATGGCATTCTCCCCAACAGAATGGAGACTTTTACACAAGAAAACTCGGACCTGAAGCGGAAGCTCCAGTCCATGGAGTCCACCAACAGAACCCTAGCGGCGCAGCTACAGAAGCTTCAAAGCATCGTCAACAAAGTGGCTAAACCACTCAAGGCTAACTCTACCCAGTCCAGTACCTGCTTAATGGTAAAAGAAACTTACAGTAGGAGGTTCCCATGAACTCTTTGCATACAGCCGCCATCTTGAAAGCATTTTTTGGAAATAAACCTACGAATATACAAGTTTGCTCATGGATTTCACTGTGAAAGAAATCACGCACCTCCAATCCGGCTGCTAGTCTCAAGGATCTGCATAGTGATACTTTTTGTGCAGTCTGAAGAGCATGACAAAATAAGTTTTTTTTAAAGTGGCACTCTCTTCAGCTACCTGCATAAACTAATTTGTCAGCCATTAACGGAAGCCATCAATGGGCCAGCACCATGCTTGCCACCAGGTGGTTTACATGTTGAACAGCTCTTAGGCAGATGGGTTATCGAGGCATGCTCAGTTTAAGAAGGCACGCATTGTGCGGCCACCTTCAACATTGCAGTGATTAACTCTCCTTTGATTAATCTGTATCAAAATATGCGTCCGTTGGCTTGGTTCTGCAATGTTCCCGAAGGTGCAGCTGACTCCATCCCTTTTTCATTCATCACCCTAGCACAAACCTGGACATAAAGTGTGGCGGTAAACTCTTGCCCTAAGGGTGGGGCTGTTCACAGTTTTATTTTTGTTCTGGAAAAGGTTAAGTATTGCAGCTAGATTTGACTTTTCTCTTCTTCCTGCTTGGGTAATTGTCTTAAAAAAGTGTGGTTGTGGTTGTGCAATATGTTGACAAAGGACACTTAAGTTGGGCCCCTTGGATGTATGGCTTTCTATTCTAAATTTCCGTATACCTTGCCTTATGCTGCCTTACACTATGTGCGCTGCACAGTGGTATATTTTCTGTCTGTCATTTCCAAGTCTTCGTCTTTTTAGCCTCTTTTTCTCACTATCGGTGCTAGTTTTCCTATTGGCTGGTTTTGCTGGCTATGAGTTCACTGGCCTGAAAATTCTGTAACAGGAGAAAATGTCCATCCTTTCTTTCAACATTCTGGAATCATTTTGAAAAACTATTTGGCACTACTTTGTTGAGAAAGGAATCTCAACAGAAATATGGGTGTGGCTAAAATCTGGGACAGCATGTCACACTCAAAATCTGTGGTTCTTGGTATGTGGTGAGCATATTGAGTTAGTGTCTGAGAATCTAGAATGTTCCTTTTATCGCAGTGCAGTACAGATGGAGCCAAGCAGTGGTCTCAGCATGAACATGCTGTGCCGTTTGCATTCCCATCAGTGGGCAAAGTTCTCGTCTCAGAACACATTGGGCCTATTACATGCAGTTTGTTAAGCTCAAAAACATTTGGATTGCATGGAAAGGGTTCTTGGTCAGACCAGGTTGCTAAACACTGTGTTATGCATTGTACGTTGCTCGTGGTTGGTTCCCATATAAGTTTGGTGTGACATTATGAAAATTGCCCAGCTAGATTTTCTCTTAATCTCTTCATGCTGGAAGATGTACACATGATCTGGCTGTCTGCACACACAGGCATATCCAACTTACCTCTGGCAGATGTCTAAACATTCTAAACCTCATCTTGTTTTGTACACACAAAGAAAGAAGGCAAACCCTGTACTGAACTTAAACTTTGGGGCTGTGCATTGCCTGTTGTATCAGCAAGTATTGTTTGCCCTGCGGTGTGCTCGAGTATTGAACAAAAATGAAGTTGCAGTACGAAATATCGTACAAATACTGTTCAAGTGACTCTTTTGAACCTTGGATTTTTTGGGGGAGAGGGGTGTAAAGCTGTACATAAAAAAAATTAACCACTATTTTTTTTTTTTATCATAGTTTGTGGCTAAAGGCAATACCATCCGCAAGTGATTTAAAAACTCCATGAAATTGGAGCCAGCTGTTCCTAGGCAGCTTTAGTGAGAACAGGACGTGTGTTCCAAATAGAAGTTTGTAATAAGTGGTATTACTGGTTGAAAGATTTCAGTTTTGCAAGTTTCAAGACACCTTTCAAAATTGACTGAGTAGCGGGCTTTCCTCTGAAAATCCCAACACCTTTAGGTTTGTGTGAGAAGAGCTCTTTGGTGTCTTAATCCAATTGCATTTGTTTCTTCTCCGTCTGTAGGTGCTTGTCCTATGCTTTGCAGTCTTCCTTGGTGGCTGGTCTCCACAGTCCCTCTTTGGCAACTCCAACCTTCCCAAGATGCCCTCGACACCCGGCCCACAGTACGGACCCTTTCCGAGCAGTTACTACGCCAGCATGCACTACCATGACAACCTGAAGAAAGAGGCTAAGACAGCTGGTCAGTCTGGCATCCCCTATGGACCGGAGCAACACTATGGCCCCTACTACGGCCCTTATATCTCTCCAAGTGGTCAGTGTCAAGCATTTCTGCTTTGAATTTGTTTCTTACTCAGTGTTTAAAATCCCAATACCTTTAAAAAGAATGTACTCAGCAATTTTGAAATGAGGCAAAAGGAGAGAGTTAGAAGCAAGCAATCTTGATGGCTAGTTAATTGTTCCAACATTAAATTATAGTGATGGTTTTCCTTCAATTGACCAACCAGTTTACAGGTCATTGCCTCCTATCAAAATGATCCTGAAAAGTAGCTTCTTTTTTATAAAATAGACTGAATTCATGTGAGTCCCTCTACAGAAGGAGGTCTCATGTGTTTTGCAGCAATACCTTTCTGGGAATAATTTTGCTCTGCCCACAAGTACCCTGAAATGTTCTTTCAATGTTTTCAGTAAATTCTCTATACCCTGCAGGTCAGATTAAAGTTTAAAAAATGCACAGAATAAATTGTGTAGCAAGAGAGCAACTTGGTATTAAATTTACATTTAAGCTTGGAATGTGTACCAAGTTTGTTTGTAATCTTTGTTTGTTTTTCCATTGTTGATTTTGTAGTACGATCCTCAAGAATGCTCTTTTCCAACGATGACAGCGAACTCGACCAGAAACCGCCCCCTAACTACCCCTACATGGAACGGATGAACCCCCTGGACCATGGCCTGGCAACGTCAGCCAGCGACAGCGCTCTGCGCAACAGGAAACTAATGGTGCCTCGTCAGCACCCGGAGACAAACACCATGGCCACCACCGGATCATTCCTTGGCAGCCAAGGGTCAGGGGTCAATCCTGCCGAGGCTGAAGGCTTAGTAGGTTTGCAGGCTGTGATGCACCCGGACATTGAGGCCCAATTAGTTGCCATGGATTCGGTGACCAGACTGACAAACAACTCCAAGAACAAGTAACAATTTCTCCCCATGATCAGTAAAAATTGGATTAAAACTGACCAGTTTTCATCAGATGGTGAAATCTGTTGTGTTGATGTACTTTTGCAGCTTTACAAAAAAAAAATTGTCTTAACAATTGGTGCCAATATGAGTATTAATAAGAGTAAGCACTCCATGATAATGGTCTTACATCCTGTTTATCCTGCCTGTAAGTTAAGTGAATGCTGCTTATCAAATTTTTATAAAACCTTATGTACAACCTAAATTTTCCTCAGAAGAATATCACAAAAAGTAACTCTAAAAACTACTTCCATCATTATTTAAGACTAAAAGGGCCAAACAATGGTGCAGGGCATAGTGTTAAAAAATCATGCTTTGGGATACGTTTGTGATAGATCAAGGTTGAACAGTTCAAGCTATTTGTGCCTTTAAAACAAAAACCTTGGAGCTTTATTTTTTATCAACCGAACACATTGGTTGGTTCTAATTCATCCCTTTTGTGTTTATTTAACAGTACTGTAAGTCGAAAGAATTCCCTAAGAATCCTTAAAGATTCCAAGACAGTAAATGTAAAGTCTGGGGAATTAAGTGCCTTGTTTGCTTAAAATCAACTAGCATCTAAGTGTTAAGTTCGCTGTGGATAATTTAGTCTGGCTTTAATGCCTCCTGCATGTTACAGTTTAGGCTTCAGACCCTGCAACTTGGATATATATTAATTACCTCACCTGGTTGTCTCACCGGTTCGTCAGGTTTTAAGACTGTGAATTGATGGGGCTGTGTAAGATCTGTAGAGGAGAGCAAAGATTAAGACTACTCTGATTCACTGATTGGATGGGATGTTTCTTTAAAGACTAGGACAATAATTTATTCCTACAAATTGTGTCAGTATTATTCCACTGCATAGAATGAACAGTGAAAACAACATTGGAAGATATATGTTCTCTATGATAAATTCAATTGTGATCCAATTTTGGTCCTATTAAGTAATATTTTCTGTTGGCAGCAAACAGCTTCTTTTTTTTTTTTCATTTTATATTTTATCAAAAGGCAAGTAGCAGGCTTTCTCTGGTGGAGTTCTTAATTTTGAAACAATACATTTTGATTTGAAGTGGCAAAAAGGAAAAGGCTTTGGACGAGTTGTGGGCTTCCAGCTTTAAATTAGAATGCACATGTATTTAGTGTTTACCATTCAAGTATTGGGTTGTGACTTAGGCCGTGTCCGAAACGGGCTTCCAGAGCTACGGCTAGGTCTATTGTCTACGCGTCTCCGCACATTTCTAATGGAGTGAAGACCTAGACCTAGTTCTAGACAAGAGATTTGGATGCAGCCCCAGAGAGAAATAAGCCAGTCTGATGTAATCTGATGAAATTAACTACTGCTTTAACTTTGATAGAGATGCCAGCTTGTGTCATTTCTGAAAAATAGTTTTTGTTATCTTAAAAGGGAATTCAAAGGATGAAATGGGAGACTATCCCTCCAAATGTAAATAATGCGGTATAATTCAGAGGCATGTTAGCATTTTAAACTAGAACCTCTGTTGTGCTAGGCATCTTTGTATGTCACTTTAATCTCACTTTTTATCGGTGAAAGCAACCTGCTTAGTCCAATCATTTTGTATTTTCCTTGTTTCTTTTTTGTGCATGCTTCTTATGAAGTGTCAGGATTTAATTTGATTTTGAAATGTTTTTTAAAAATTCTTTTTCCTTGTAGCTATTTTCAGTCTTGTTCCTGAAGACAGTGAGCATTCTTCTCTCTCTTTTGTAAATAGACTATCCACAAATTATTTAAGGAGACCAGACCGGCAGATACAAAGACAACTCAGAGTCAACTGTACGGTCGATTTATTGTCCAAAGGCAAAAGAGTGAAAAACTCACTTTCCGAAAGAGAGAGTCCCCTATAAAACTACTCCAAAAGAGTGAAAACCACTCACAGAGTGAAAATCAGTCCAGAAGAGGAACTTAAGCCGAGTCGTCCCTTGTCTCTTAGCCTTCGCAAAAGAGTGGAAATTTCTCCTTTTTGGAGTAGGCCTAGTAATCACTCTTTTTGAGAGTGAGTTCCTCACTCTTGTGCAAGTATAAAGACTACTTTTATCCATCCTCACAGCCATTGAATAACACACATCAGAATAATGCTTAAAGAAAGAAATTATCTCAACTTTCTGGCATATTGTAAAAAAAGAAATAAAGAAATGTATTATTTTGTAAAAAAAAGTCAGTGATTTTTTTTAATTTGTTGGCATTTTCTGGATTAAATAAGTGTGGAAGGAAGCCCTGGCCGTTAATATGGGAGAGCAGGCGCTGTTTTACCGCCATTTGAGGGAGGGGGCGGACCCTTCGCACGTGACGTCACCTTGTAACTTTCGTTACTGTAGATCCAATATTTTCCAGCTAAAGTTGGGGAAGAGTTGTATCCTCGGTGCAAAATCTTGCTCAATGTTGCTTCAGTTTTGAATTGAACAAGGGCCCGTTGTATCCAGATGATTACATGTATACATGTACATCAACCAAAATATGATGTCACATGATTGTCCTGGTCAGGAGTGCTCGAACCCCATTTTCTTATTAAGAAACACTTGAACTGACCAGCATACGACATACACATATAGATAAGGGTACCGACCGCCCACCAGTGAAGACTATTCACTACACCATTTTCTATCCCTTGCATTGTAGAGTAGGCCTACTCCTTCCCGGCGAATCGTTTGGCTGTAACTTGAAAGAGAAAAGTAGAAACAGTAAGGAAGGAAGTTTCGTGATGTCGACCATGCCACCCATTATGCAATCGCAAGAGAGGGTCGGTGTACCGGTGGTACCCAACGCGTTCGTACCGTCGACGGCGCGTCAGCCGAAGCTAGCTAGGCCTCTTTGAAAAGTGCACAACAATGTCACAGTACTTTCACATCACCAAATGCGGTCACGGCTTTCTCCATTATCTTTCATGTAAGGTACAATGTAATCAATTTAAGGAATTCTTTGCGTTGAATTGTTAGATCTTGATGAACAGTGTTATGACACTTATTCTGAATTAGGTGTCAGTGTCTGGAAACATTTCTTGCTTTTCTCGAAGTGTATTTTAGGATTTATGTTTAGGAGGGAAATTGTAAACGTTAAATAGGTCGTCCCTGTGCGACAATGGATCGGTCCTATTAAATGCAAAGTTCTATCCCACATCCAGGTGCGAAAGCGACGCGTAGTGAACTTGCTGAACCAATCAGAAAGAATGAAGGGGAGTCACTTCAATCACGTGTCAAAAAAGTGCAGGGAACCTGAACTTTTGGGGGTGAAAATTCTGAACTTAGATACAGTTTGTATGATTTTTTGTTATAAATTTTCGCACGTAAGTTACATGTCATTGTCGGGTAAATTGTCGTAATTTATTCGTGTCCGTAGAATTACTTTTTGTTTGGAGATGGGGAAGTCGATCAAAAAGCGTCATGGCTCAAAGCGTGCGACCGAGAAACGACGTTGTTGTGAAGATCAAGGCGAAGTGGTGGAGTCCACCTCCGACTCACCCATCGGCCCTGGGCGTGATCTGGCCAGAAATGTCAAGGGTGCCGGTGAAGCCCCAACTTCCCCAGGAATCCACGGTGATGGTGCGGTCGAGCGAGGTCCTGTCACCGGGTCTCGTTCAGTGACTGCAGGGAGGGCTCGACCTCCGCCTCCAGGTGCCGGTGACGGGGGAAAAGGTTCGTCGCAGAAACGGAGGGGTCCCCACTGCGCCCGCTGCCGTAGCCATGGTGTATTGGTTCCACTCAAGGTTTGTCGTCTTGACTCATGCTTTCGTTTTCTCTTGTACAGTTACTAGGCCAAGCCTACTTACTTTGTTGGAGCTGGTTGGCTGGTGCCATCATGCTTTACAGGTTAGGCCTAACTTCACTCTTCGCTTTAGGTAGGAGGCCTTAATCTGCAGGCATTCAAAAAATAAGGCAGCAGGTCTCGTTTACCCCCCAGAACAGTAGATCGTTCGCCGCGGAACCTCACAGTTCAGGGTGTAAAAGCCTATTGATATCCTAGGCCTAAGCCTAAAGCCTAAGTCCGACTAACTAGCGCTCTGCACATTGCCTTAACATTTCGATATGATCA